CCAGAATTCCCCAGCCAGCGAATGCTGGCTGGGGAATTCTGGGAGTTGAAGTCCGGACATCTTCAAGTTGCCAAGGTTGAGAAACACTGGTCTAGTAGTTAAGGCACCATGCTAAAAAGCAGGAGACTGTGAGTTCAAGTTCCTCCTTAGCCATGAAAGCTCTTTATTTATTATTATTGTTGTTGTTGTTGTTGTTGTTATTATTATTATTTGGGAGTGCAACAGATGTGTCTCCCAAAAGTACCCAGTCTTTAAGTCAACCACAATCTTCTCAAAGGCGGTAGATAAATATAGCCCTGGGTTTGCCAAAAACGTCCTCTGCACGTTGGGTGAATTCATTCTCCCCGGTTGACATTCTGGGCTAATCATGTTTTGTGGTTTCCCCAAGTGTCATCTTAGGTCTCTGGGCTGGAGCTGGATGAAAAGTGCGGCTTGTGGGGTGGGGGGGTGAGGCTAAAGGTCCTTTGAGTGCAGAGTTGTGGCTGCTTTCTTTCGTCATAGCGATAGCTGCGATAGTGAAACTGACTGGGTTTGAAACCCAGCATTATTTGATGGAATACAGGACCTGCTTCTCTTATGCTGTATCAATCTCTCTCTCTCTCTCTTTCTCTTTCATTCTGGCCAAGGACAATATTCTGTGCAAAATCCGTGGTGCTCTCTGAACTTGGTGGTTTTCTTGCAAATGTTTTATCACCCATCATCAGTGCTAGAAGGGAATGGGGAAGATGGAGCAGGAGGAGGAAGATTGTGGAGTCCTTGATGGTCTTTGAACTTGGTGGTTTTCTTGCAGATGTTGTGCTACCAAACTAGGTATCATCAGTGCTAGAAGGGAATGGGGGAGGAGGAGGAGGAGGAGCAAAGGGATGAGGATTGTGGGTTCCTTGGTCATCTGTGAACTTGGCGGTTTTCTTGCAAATGTTTTATCGCCCATCATCAGTGCTAGAAGGGAATGGGGAAGGAGGGGGGAGGAGGACGAAGAGGAGGAGCAGGAGCAGGAGGAGGAAGATTGTGGGGTCCTTGA